AGCTGTGCGCTCTCCTGCCTGTCTGCACGCAGAGAGCTGCTATTCCCCCTCCTTTCTGTCACTGGGCAAAGTGTGACCTTCGTCTCTACTTTCTCACAGCGGCAGGTATGTATTATTCCCAGCCTTCGTCCCCTCATGGTAAATATTAATGTTATGCTATATTCCAGGGACTGTGATGCGCTATTCGCATGGCGCAATAGGCATGGGTTATTATCTGAGCAGGTGTGTCTGTGCTTCTTGTACCGAGGCGACCCAGTGGGGCGCAGACTACATCTTGCTTCGCCCTTAACCCAATAGCGATAGCCTTAGAGGGCGAAGCCATATACGAAATAGAACTGAAGTTACCTACTGTAACTCCAGCTTCTATGAGTATTGGCGTAGCCCTCTAAGTTCTGGGCCCCACTGGCTCCACGAATAGCTGAAGAAAAGTTGTTTTGTGTGGGAGCAGATTGTCGGGCCTCCTTCCTATTTATACCGGAAGGGAGCCCGAGGGTGGGGCCCACCTTTTAATTTAATTTCAATCTTTATTTCGAACAGATTATAAAACAAATAAAAAATAACAAATGTGAAAAAACAGAATACCGTATTGTTAAGATACAGTATTTATCCACATTCACGATAATATTTATATATTCAACAAAAAAAGTCTTCATATTAATAATAATAATTAAAAAGAAAAAAAAAATCATATGTGTCCGAAAGGGAGTAGGAGGAAGCAAATGCTTATTAATTCCCACCCCTTACTTGATCAATGATTGTCCTTTAAGTCATTATGCAAGTTATTCCTACTTACATTTATACATACATATACAATAATTTCTCATCTTCAATCACCTCTCTTCATTCTCATAGTTTTCCAAAAAAGTGTTTCTGTACATCCTTTTAAACTGAATTATGCTTGTGCTTTGTTTTAACTCCTGCTCCAAACCATTCCATAAAATCACCCCACAGATTGTTATACTCATACTTCTCAGAGTTGTTCTGACCTTGAGTTGTTTAAAATGTAGATTTCCTCTCAAATGATACCGACCCTCTCTGTCTATGAACAATGTTTTTAATTTCCTAGGAAGTAGATTATGTCTTGCTCTGTACATGATTTGTGCCGTTTTAAATTTAACCAGATCAGTGAACTTCAATATGTGTGACTTCAAAAATAATACATTAGTGTGTTCAAGATATCCAACATTATTGATAACTCTTATAGCCCTTTTTTGTAATGTGCATAACGGCTGTAGGTTGGTTTTGTACGTGTTTCCCCAAATCTCCACACAGTAAATCAGATATGGCAATATCAGTGTGTTATATAGAGTATACAATGAGTTGTAGTCCAGAATGTGTCTGGCTTTTCCCAATATTGCGATAGTCTTAGCCAGTTTTGCTTTTACATGAGTGATATGAGGTTTCCAGCTGATTTTGTAGTCTAAAACCACACCAAGGAACTTAATTTCATATACTCTTTCTATGTTTATGTTATCTAGTATTAATTGCACCTTTGGATTTGTTTTATGTTTTCCAAATAACATAATCTTTGTTTTGCTTATATTTAATGATAATTTGTTTGTGTCAAACCAATGTTTTACTTTAATCATTTCTGCTGTTATCACTTCCATTAGCTCTTTCAAATTGTCACCGGAACAAAAAATATTAGTGTCATCTGCAAATAAAATAAATTTCAATATATTTGATACTCTGCAAATGTCGTTGATGTATATTATGAACAGCTTTGGACTCAACACGGACCCCTGAGGTACTCCACAAGTTATGTTCATGTATTCTGATTTATGTTCACCAATTTCAACAAATTGTTGTCTGTTGCTTAAATAATCTCTCACCCAGTCTAATCCTACCCCTCTGATGCCATACCGTTCCAGTTTTGTCAGTAAAATATTGTGATCTATGGTGTCAAATGCTTTTTGTAAGTCTATAAATATTCCCACTGCTTGTTTTTTATTGTCCATGCAGTTTGCTACTTCCTCACTTAATTCCATTAGTGCCATAGATGTTGATCTATCTTTCCTGAATCCATATTGACTGTCGTCCAAAAGCTGATGTGTTTCCATGAAATTGTCAAGTCTTTTTGTAAAAAGCTTTTCAAGGATCTTGGAAAACTGAGAGAGCAATGAAACAGGTCTGTAATTTGTGTAATGGTGTTTATCCCCAGTTTTATATAATGGTATAACTTTTGCTATTTTCATTTTATTTGGGAATTTACCAGATTGAAAAGACAAGTTAAAGAGATGAGTCAATGGTTCTGCAATTTCTTCAATAATGTCTTACTATAATCATATCAATATTATTCCAATCGGTCGAGGATTTGCTTTTACATTTTCTCACAGTATCTATGATTTCTTTTTCTTCGACTGGTGTGAGGAAGAAAGAGCTATTATTTTCATTCCAGAGGTCCGTATCTTCCCCTTTAGTTGTTTCTACGGTTTTAATTTTTTCTGCCAGATCTGGCCCCACATTTACAAAGAATTCATTAAAACCATTAACCACATCATCTGTATTATTAATAACATTATTTTTGTCCACAAAAAACTCAGGGTAACCTGAACTTTTTGCTCCATTTCTAATGACACTATTTAACACTTTCCATAAACCTTTCATATTATTCTTATTATTCTCTAATATTTTATTATAGTATTCTTTTTTACATATCCGTAGAATATGGGTTAATTTATTCTTATATCTTTTATATTTATTTTCTGCTTCTGAAGTTCTATATTGTATGTATTTTTCTTTTTGCAGGCATTTTTTAGGCCATTAGTGATCCATGCACTGTGAGTTTGTTTGTGTCTCTCTCTGCATTGTTTCACAGGACAGTTTTTGTCATAAAGTGATTTAAAAATGTTTAGAAATTCATCATAGGCCTTGTCAATATCGTCTCTCTCATATACTACCCTCCAATTCTGATTTAGTAAGTCATTTTTAAATGCAATTATGTTATCTTCAGTTCTCAATCTTTTGTATTTGAAATGGCTGGCGACTTTAGGTTTCTTAGAACTGCAGTGATAGACAATAAAAACAGGTAAATGATCACTGATGTCACTATATAATAGTCCGCCTACTGTATTGTTTTCCATAATGTTTGTGAATATCTTGTCTATTAATGTAGCAGAATGAGAAGTGATTCTACTAGGTCTGGTAATTTTAGGATACAAACCCATACTGTACAATGTATTGATGAAGTGTTCTGTCATTTTATGCTTATTTGGATTCAACAGGTCAATATTGTAATCCCCACAGATAAACATAATTTTTTGTAATGATTTAGTAAACATGTTTTCTACCCTATCTGTAAATGTGTCAATACAGGTTCCAGGAGCTCTGTATATACAACTCACAATAACATTTTTAGACTTTTCCATACAAATTTCTACTGTAACACATTCAAACAAATCGTCAACAGCTGTTGTCATGCTCTCCGCCACCTTATAGTTCATTCCTTTATCCACATAGATTGCCACACCCCCTCCACTCTTATTCCTTCTGTTTGTATAATTCAGTTCGTAGCCATCCATCTCAAAGTCCACACCTTTCTCAGCACTGATCCAGGTCTCTGATATTGCTATGATGTTGAATGGGTTCTTAAACTGACTTAGATATTCTTTAATGTTGAGGAAGTTGGCATGTAGGCTTCTGCTATTGAAGTGGATAATTGATATGTTCTCTTCTGATTGACACGTTACATTGAATTGCTCTTCTGTGAAATAGTTGCAGCTGTTGTTGATATTGTTCAGTAAGTTGTTTTCCGGAACAATGTCATTTTCCGTGTCCTGTGCTTTATGCTCTGTATATGCAAACGTTTCTAGTCTTGATGGAGATATGTGTATATTAACTGGAATTGTCATGGTAGTGTTTTTTTTTCGTTACCTTGTCTGATTTGCTTCATTGGTATTTTTCCAGTTCCTCCAGGTCCCTGATGATTAACACTTTGGCTTGTTCTGGTGATCCGTTAAGCTTGATGAAGATTCTGCAGTTTGCAGTCCATGTTGATTGTATTTTTTGCTGTTTTCTCAGGAATCGCGCCTTTCTGGCGATCTCAGCATTTCTTTTAGTGAGGTGTTCATTCATACATACATCCGAGCCCTTAAGCCGTCTTCCCTGTTTCAGAAGTTCAGTTTTCTGTTTTCTGTTAGCAAACCTTATTATAATTGCCGGTTTATCAGTTTTATTTCTCCGTGGTAGCGGGTGACAGGCCTCGATGTTGTCGCTGTCAATCTCTATTCCCTTGGAGTTGAGGAAGGCCGTCACCTGTAGCTCCACAGATGTAGCATCCTCCTCGCTTGTGTCCCCTCCGGTCATCCTCGTCGCCGCCCGGGCGTATGACCGGGGTTTCGTCTCCAGTCCAGTGATTATGATGTTGTTAATTCGGGTGTATTGTTCCAGCTCATCCACCCGATTTTCCAGCGAGAATATCCTCTTTTCTTTTTCGGAGTTTTCTAGCCTCAAGGCTTTAACTTCCTCCACCAGGCTCATAATTGCTATCTGTTGCTGTCTTACAACAGATACCTCCTCCGTCAACATGTCTAACGATCGTTTAATGTCGTCAACCTCCTCAGCATGCGGAGGAATTTTTTTTGGTGGCATTGCGTTTTTGTTTAGGATTATTATATACGGAGAGAACGAGGAAATGTTAGTTTCTCTCTGTCTCTCAGACCTCCTCACAGCAGGCGTGGACTACAAGTGTTTCAGTGCTGCGCGGGTGCGCAGGGGGATTACCCAATAGCGATAGCCTTAGAGGGCTACGCCAATACTCATAGAAGCTGGAGTTACGGGCCGTCTCCACGGCAGCGTTAAAAAAATCTTGGAGGTGGGCGTATCTGAAGCTTGGGGATTTTTTTGCGATCAACCAATCACATGAATCTCCCGCCCCCGAATCTCCCGCCCCCGATATACAAAGCAAAAAAGCCCGGTTCTTCTCCACTATTGCCAAAATGGATGCCGGTTTTGTAGTAAGGGTAGAACGTGTAGTAGCAAGGGTGAATTTAGTGTATGCAATGTCTCGCAGGAGGCCTAGAGTGCATCGCTTTTGGGTACATCCAATACTCCGAAAACGTCAGCAACGGGGGGAATACCACTGTCTGGTCCAAGAGCTCCGTCTGGATGACCACCTGTTCCACCAGTATTTTCGGATGAGCAAAAACGTGTTCGACGAGTTGCTCGGAAAAGTGGGTCCACTGATCACAAAGGTGGACACCAATATGCATGTGTCTATCGGACCCGCCGAGCGACTCGCCATCTGCCTACGGTACGTTGTGTGTATTTGTACTTCTTTCATCTGACTCTGTATAGAAAGAGAGAATGCATGCCATGGATGAATGATGACTGAAGTCTGTGATTTAGTTCAGATGGATGACATTAATTAAGATAGCTAGGTAAACACAGTATTGCTCCTCTGTGTACATGGCGTGTGTGTGTGTCTGTGGTCTGTGTGTGGGGGGGGATCTGTGTGTGTATGTGGTCTGTGTGGGGGGGATCTGTGTGTGTCTGTGATCTGTGTGTGTCTGTGGTGTGTGTGTGTGGGGGGGATCTGTGTGTGTATGTGATCTGTGTGTGTCTGTGTGGGGGGGGATCTGTGTGTGTCTGTGATCTGTGTGTGTCTGTGTGGGGGGGATCTGTGTGTGTATGTGATCTGTGTGTGTCTGTGATCTGTGTGTGTCGGTGATCTGTGTGTGTCTGTGATCTGTGTGTGTCTGTGTGGGGGGGGATCTGTGTGTGTCTGTGATCTGTGTGTGTCTGTGATCTGTGTGTGTCTGTGTGGGGGGGGATCTGTGTGTGTCTGTGATCTGTGTGTGTCCGTGTGGGGGGGATCTGTGTGTGTCTGTGATCTGTGGTGTGTGTGTGTGGGGGGGATCTGTGTGTGTATGTGATCTGTGTGTGTCTGTGTCCTGTGTGTGTGGGGGGGATATGTGTGTGTGTATATGTGTGTGGGGTCTGACATATATTTTTTTAATCATGTGTATATTTTTTTCTCAGGTACCTGGCAACTGGTGATTCATACAGGACCATAGCATTCAGCTATCGGGTCGGGCATGCAACAGTGGCTGTCATCGTCAAGGAGGTTGCGGGTGCCATCTGGACCGCCCTGGTTGAGGAGACCATGCCAGTACCACAGCCGGAGGACTGGAGAGCCATCGCTGCTGAGTTTCATGAGATCTGGAACTTTCCGAATTGCGTTGGTGCCATTGATGGGAAGCACGTGGTGATCCAGGCTCCGGCAAATTCTGGGTCCCTCTACTTCAACTACAAGTCCACCCACTCCTTGGTACTGCTGGCTGTCGTGGATGCCCGGTACCTCTTCAGGGTAGTGGATGTTGGAGGATTTGGAAGGAGCAGCGACAGTGGGAGCCTGCGGAATTCTGCATTTGGAGAGAGCCTCAGAGATGGCAGTCTGCAGCTACCACCTGACACCGTCATCCCAGGAGCAGAGCAGCTGGGCCTTCTTCCCCATGTGTTTGTAGGAGATGAGGCTTTTCCGCTGCTGGACAACCTGCTGCGTCCATTCCCTGGACGTCACCTCACCCGTGAAAGGAGGATGTTCAACTACTGCCTCAGCAGGGCCAGGTTGGTGGTTGAATGTGCGTTTGGCATCCTCTCATCCCAGTGGAGAATGTTCAGGCGTGTCATCACCACCAGCCCGGAGGTAACAGAGTTGTGTGTGAAGGCCACCTGTGTGTTGCACAACTTCCTCCGCAGGAAGACGATAGGAAGGCGATCACGCACACCTCTTGTCGAGTCCACGGATGAAGATACTCCAACCCTGTGTGATGCACCGAGGATGGGCTCCAACAATGCCACACGCAGATCCATCCAACTGCGGGAGACCTTCAGCTCCTATTTTAATGAGGAGGGTGTACTGCCATGGCAGCAGTATGTGGTGTAGGGTCACCATTGTCTCCAAACCAAAAGCTCTTTTAAGAGCTACCCATATTTTCTTTAAAAAGCAAATATTCCAAATGAGCCATTTTAAAATCAAACATTCCTAATAAACATGTTTCTTGAATTGATATTATGATATGACTAACAACCTTTTTCCTTCAGTCCTGTTTTTAGTGATAAACCACTCATAATTACAACAGGTTTTCACTTGAACAATTACAGAAGACCGCACATTATATATCGACATACATGAAGCTTCTGGTATGTTGCAACTGACAAACCACATGAACAAGTCAAGACACAGTATAGCCATAACATACTTTAAATAACTTTTATTTATGTAATGTTGTGAGTGAAGTGTGTGATGAGTGTAAAAAAGTGTAATGTGGATCAGTATCAGTATTTAATAGTATTTACTCCTCCTCCTGGTCTGCCTCTAAAACTACCTTGTATAATGCAAATCTGACTCGCAGCCTCTTTGCTCTCGACATCAGTCTCATGGTGGGCAAGAGACTTCTGAAAAATAACATGTCCTCATCCTCCTCCACCACCAATGGCATGGCCAGAATTGGAGCGACGGCAGACAGCAAATTCTGTTCGAAGGAGGACATCTCCTTTGCCCTTTTCCTCCGGAACGAACCCCTTGCATCCTGTCCTGTCTGTCCTGCCTCTGCTGGCTGACTGGCATCTGGCTGACTGGCATCTGGCTGACTGGCACCTGGCTGACTGACACCTGGCTGACTGACACCTGGCTGACTGCCACCTGGCTGACTGCCACCTGGCTGGCTTTCCTGGCTCTCGTCTAGGGTGGATGGAGGCAGGGTTTTCCGGGGGACATTGCTGGACGTCTCGCGGTCAATCATGAATGGGTTTAAAAAACTCATGATTGCCGCGAAACGCCAGGGCTTGTATCCCCCTGAAGACCCTGCACCGCTTCTTTTAGCCTCCTTCTCCTGCTGCTTCTCCTTCCTGTACCTATCCCTCAGTGTCTTCCACTTCTTTTTGCACACTTCCTCTAATAAAATGAAATGAAAGACGCTTCCTCCTCAGCTTCAAAAGTTGAACATTGTTCAACTTTGGATCTTGAAAATCCTGAGAATCTCCGCTCGCCTGCCCACAATGCATTTCGGCGAAAGCGAAAAAAAGTGACGTCACCCCATTCAAAGTGAATGGGCAGAAGCGTTTCAAGATTTATTAACGCTGCCGTGGAGACGGCCCGTTACAGTAGGTAACTTCAGTTTGTGTGTATTGTGTTTGTTTTCCGGGGAAAACACTCACAAGAAATACCGGCTGTTGTGACGTTAAGTCACTCCGTTCTCTGCTTGTAATTATGCCGTTACAAACTTCAAAGTTGTATTTATTATCTGAATTTGCCGAAACAAGTTTAATATTCTGAAAGCCAAGACTTTGTTTATTTGAAATCAGATGAAAACAAACTGTATCGGACCCTGCCGTGTTATCTATGATTACTATACGCTTACATTCATAATTTCAGCCGGAGGGAGGCACTAAGGAAGAGCAGAGTGGCGAGTGAGAGGTGCCTGTCATCTTCCCTTTACAAGCTTTAAAAATGTATTTATCGTGTGATTTTGGAAATAAAAGTGTCATATTCTGAAAGCCAAGACTTTGTTTATTTAAAATCAAACAAAACACCCGAACCCCGATGTTACGTGCCGTAGTGTTTGTGTGTGTCTCTCTCTCTCTCTCTCCCTCTGGTTGTCCCCAGGTGCAGCCTCTCCCCAGGTGCTCCCAATCCCCAATCAGGGCCTCCATATAGGACCTGAGGAAGGCTGCAGTCGCTCTCTCCTTCTCCTCTGGTAGCATGGTGTCTCTGTCTCTGTGTGAGACCTGTGTTTTGTTCATCATTAGGAGATGTGCTCCAGTGTATATTTGTGTTCTAGTTTATTTTAGTTTACTTTGCAAGTTGGCTGGTGAGCCCTTTTTCTTTTTGTCCATTAAAAGACCATCTTGTGGCTTCACAGATCAGTTTCCTCTCCTTTTTCTCTCGTCCGGTCATTTTATATTTTGTTACTTCCCTTTGGTTCCCCTAGCCCAGTAGGGAACGTAACACCCGAAAAACTATTTTTTTTACGCAAATCCACATTTATTTTGAAATGAGCCGTCGCGACTCCCGACTGATTTCGATAGAGCGGGTCACATATGGTTAAGTTTCCGTAATTAACATGATCGTTTCGGTAGTGACCAAATGGAATGGTAAGCAGGTAAATCCCACCATTTTGAAATAAATGTGTTTTAAAGTCTGAAAATCAGTGCATTACTTTAAAGGTCTCTTATTATACTATTATTAGGCATATATTATAGGTCTCAGATATATAAAAAACATGTCTATGAAGTGTTTTGCTCAAAATACCAAACAGATCATGCATTCTAGCCTCATCCCCCTCTATTTCAGCCTGTTACTAAAGTGCTGATTCTGGGTCAGTAGCTTCAAACATTCACACTTCAACATAAGGCATGTTATGAGTTAAGATTAAGCAATAAGGTTGAGGGAATATGATACAACCTTGAGAACAAAATACTGTGGTCACTACCGAAACACTGGATGTTTTGTAAAAAATTAAGTATATTGAGTTATCAACTAAAATGATATGATACTGATTGGTTTAATGTATGTTCAATTTCAACAATCATCAACTCTGGAATCAATATGATCAGTATTATGCATTTTTACAAAGAAAGTTTGCATTATGATTTTTATGAATTGTATAAATTGAACTTTGAAATTTGATAAATTCACTTATATTAATTTAATTGTGAAAACCCTCAAGAAATATTTGTTAAAATACTATTTAGAGAAGGGAAGGTAAAACAATCTTAACAGGTTAATATAATACTTTTTTACTACAGTGTACTATGTTTCGGTAGTGACCATTTTTGGTAGAGGAAGAACATTCCAATACAGTCTGAAAATACGATATCAAAATGTACGGTTCTTTTTACTAGATATGTGTAATTTAGATATGGTACAAAATATATATGGACAAAGTTTTGGGAAAAAAACATACACAATTTCAAAACATTTCCAACCTGACTTTGGTCCAATTCGGTAGAATGGCCCATATATTACAGCACAATTTTGTGTTGAATAGATTTGAGTGGTTCAAAATTTCGGGTCGCAATTGATTGACAAAGGAAAAAGTGGGTCCCGAGGCCTGACCAGTTGAGAACCACTGGTATAAAGCAACAAAGTTGGGCCACTGATTGTGTCCCTTGCGTAACCAATAACCAATTTGCGTTGTGTCTGCCGGCCACGCGCGCTGTGAGGGGCGGGGCTCACACTTAGCCAGGTCAGGAGTCAGACACTCCGTGTGCACGTGCAGCAGTGTAGCATCCAAATTAATAATATAGCAACAAGCAGGAGACAACATGTGACTTACTCGAGGGGAATTTAAAGTGAAATGGAATTGGTTACAAAACCTAATTCCACATCTCCGGTGTGGGAGTATTTTGGATTCAAGCCAAATGAACGAGGCCAACCTACGGATTTGAATGAGCCGGTATGTCGCATTTGTTTTAAAAAGGTAGCAACAAAAGCTAGTAATACGACCAACGTTAAACTGCACCTGAAAAAACTAGGGCTGTCAAGTTAACGCAATTACTTTTTAACGCCACTAATTATTTTAACGTGCGATTAACGCATGTGTATTTGTCCTCGGCCCGCCCCGTAGTTTCAGAGCCCAAAGGCTTGACGTTGTTGTTAGTTGGATGGTGGGAGATTCTAGCGAGAGATATGGATACAAAAAAAGTTTTAAACAGCAAGCCAAGCACACAGCTGATGTTGACAGCCCCGCTCCCGCCGCTCGCTTGCGGTAGACCACGCTTGACAGTTTGCCGGGGAGACGCCTGGACAACAACAGCGATAGCTAAATGGGTGGCTACAGCTTAACATTGTGGAGGATGAGGGGCTGCGTTAGATAATTCGGAACGCATCCAACGTGTCGACTGCACATCACAGCGCATTATTTTGACCCACAGTGGGAACTTCAGTCTCATGCTTTGACTTTTATGAAGACAGAGGAGCGGCATTTTGCCGACAACTGTAAACAGGCTTGTCTGTTTGAGCAACTGGCTCAGTGCAAAGAAGTAGACAGGGTTGGGAGAGAGTGTAAGAGAGAGAGAGAGAGGTTCCAGGTTGTTGTATTGAAAATATTCAGGAGAATATTTGTCATTGTTCAGAGGTTGTTGTGTTGAGAATATTCAGGAGAATATTTGTCATTGTTCCAATGATAATAAACAAACATTGCATAAAGCATATTTGTCCACTCATATGTTGATAAGAGTATTACAAACTTGAAAAATATTCCTCTAAGGTACATTTAGAACAGATAAAAAATGTGCGATTAATCGCGATTAACTATGGACATCATGCGATTAAATATTTGAGTCAAACACAACCACCCCATTCCGTTTTCCCAGCTGGGAGCCCCCACCTTCCCGACAGTTTACAATCAAAGATGCATTTGCCCGACAATGCAAACATGTTTGTGTTCCTTGCTCGAAATCTTTGAATTACAGATTTGGATATGGCCTGTTGAGGCAGCTGGGTCTTTGTATGGACAGTGGACTGTACACAGGGGCGGACTGGCCATCGGGACGTTCGGGACGAATCCCAATGGGCCGGTACTGAAGTGGGCCGGTCGGACGATGTGGGCCGCTCGGATAAGTCACTAGCACCCCACCCCCCCCCCCCCCGTCGACAATTTCCTCGCGGTATTTACTTGCGGCACCGAGGTGGGCCGCTCGGATAACTCACTAGCACCCCCCACCCACCCCCGTTGATTTACCGAGGTGGGCCGGCGGTACCGAAGTGGGCCGGTCGAGAGTCCCGGGCTGATTTGTAGTCCCAGTCCGCCCCTGACTGTACACTTGACTGTTGTTTTAAGGAGGTTTTTTTTGCTTGTGAGACAATGTGTGCTCATATTTATTTATTTGTTTTCCAGCCTGAGTCTATTTAATTTATTGTAATGGTTGTGTGTGATTTAATTAGTTTTCTATAATTTAATTTATTTGTTTTATTTATTATATATAATTTATATATTTGGATATTATTTCACATTCTTGTTATTCCTCTTGGCTTTTTAAAATGACAACTCTTAACAATGTTGTTCACACTTGTTATAAGCAAAGCCATTTACCATAGAAGGCCAACCCGTAGATATTTTGCTGAATGAAAAAACACCCGTAAAGTCTCAGGTTCTTACGGGAAGACCTGTGAAACCTGCAGAGCAAGTCCTCCAGCTTTGATGCCTACTGGTATCTGTGTGTCCCTTTTTCATGTGACATTACCACTGGCACCATCGTAGCTAAAGAGTTTGTTGCTGACATTGACAAACACATAATTAGATCAGGTAGGGGTTGCGTGACTTGCCTAAGGGTATTTTTACAGTCACCAGGCAGATGGAGGGATTTGCATAAACAACTACAGAACAGGAAACCATTTTCTATCTTTCACAAGACATTTAACTTGTTACGGCCTAGAGATATTGGACCCCAAAGCAAAAGAGACTTAGAGAGAGAGATGGTCAAAAACAAAAAGTTTATTTTAAGCAGAGGCACTGTAAACGGCAGTGGAGGCAGGAAGCTGGCTGGCACAGAGACGTCAGGGACAGGAGGCAAACATCCAGGCGAAGAGATCACAGGGACGAGGAGAGCAGCGAGACACACCGGAGGGTCGAACACAAAGGGATGATCTGGCAGGGAAGTGGCGAGAGGACCGGGCTTTTATGTCAACAGGTGAAGAGGTGAGTGGAAACAGGTGTGCCTCGTCTGCTGCTGGGAGGAGCCAGCCAACTCCCTGTCACACACCAGCCCTGCAGAGGAAAACAGAGAAGGGAGGGGGGAGACAGAAGAAAACACAAAAAAAGCACACAACAAAACCAAAACTAAACAGAATCATCACAAAACTGTCTTTAAAAATAATCACTATAGGAAGAAGGAACTGTCAGATTTAGGAGTAACCCTAACGGCCCGTCCACACAGCAGCGTGCGTTGAAGCTTGCTCCATTTTTTGGAATATGAGGAAATGACCTGCGGTGTGTCTCTCCCAGCATACACGCGGTTTGATTGGCTGCATAAACGGGATTTGATTGGCTGACGCTTCCACCGAAGCTTCAGAAGCTTCAAAAGTTGAACATTTCTCAACGTTTGCTCTCAAATAAAGAAATATTACTGCAAAGTTATAGCTATAATTTTTATTGTATATTCTATTATCGTATGAACAGTTTCTTCTTAAACATCTGACATACCTTTTAAACTATATTGGCTTACAGTAAAACAAATTCAATGATGATAATTGTGTATAAAGTTGTGCAAGTTCTTGTTCTCTAGCACGGAGCTTGAACCGGAGTTGCGTTGGTGTGAATGAGGTATCTGTCTTCAAATCTGCAGTAGAACTGATTCAGATCGTTTGCAAGTCGTCGGTCGTTCATGGCGAGGGAGGCTTTTGGCTTGTAGTTTGTGATCTGTCTTAGACCACGCCAAACCGAAGCAGAGTCGTTTGCTGAGAGCTGATGTTGAAGTTTCTCAGAGTATAGTCGTTTAGCATCTCTCACCGCCTTGCCAAAGACGTACTTCGACTCTCTATCAATTGACTTTCTGATAATTCATATCTATGTATGTACACACAATAAAAGTGAGTCACCTGTGTATTTACCGGAAGCTGCTATTGCACCTCCTACAATGGATTCAATTAGATTTAATTAGGTGTTACTGTGCTGAGCACTGAGTCACTTCTGGTGTTTTGGGTATTGTCTAATCCTTTACCTGTATTTCTGCTAAGGCCACCTCCAAAGAATGCCCTCCAAGGCATTTGATTATGATACATCTACCTATTGTTCTCTGTGTGAAGATATATGCTTTGTTTCACATGATGTATAGGCACAAAGGCACAATGGCTGATAACATCAGACAAGGAAGCTGAGGGAATAATTAAACCAGTTGAGCCACTACCAGCAGTACCTTACTATATTACAGGAAGTTATTTGTGCAGCGTGTTTCTCATCGCTCCACTTGCTGGTTGACAGTCTTCACACTCTGCAGGCTCCTGTGAACACCAGTGAGTCCAAAACATTCAAGTGGATAAACAGCAAGAAGAGAAAGAGCATGGTAAGAAGCTAAACATGACTTTGAAAATGCATATTTGTTGGGACTTTATTGAATACGTTTTTTTAGTGTTTCACAGGACTGATTTGAGCTTGTTGTTTACAGTTTCACCTCTTTTTTGATTATGTCCAAATGCTTTTCTAAGCCTTTTAAACAGATCATAGCTTTGTAAACGTGTGTGTTAGTGTGAAAGGATTCTGGTTGCGGTGAAATCACGTCCCCTGAGTTCTGTTTGGTTTGGCTGATCTGCATCTGTGTTTGCTCAGGCTGCACTGTATCTGCTGAGTGTTTTCTGTGACATGATGTACTCTTAATGACTGAAAAGACAATACTAATCAGATACAATTATTCCTCCACATTACAGTAAGTGCGTCAACATGTATCACATTCATCCATCTTTAGGGATCAAGCTTTGTTTTATATAATCATATTAATATTTAATCTTTATCATTTGCATACAAAAAAGGTGCCATTTTCATAGTATTAACATCTGTATTTTTAAAACTTGATGGCTCTTATCTTCTGCAAAATTGTTATTCATGCATAAAACAATGTATACATTTATTTGAATAATCAACAGAAGTTGAAAATATATATTTTTTAAATTCCAAACCACCAACATTAACATTGACTAATGAAAAGATCTTTAGACACTAACAATGAAATATAGAGCCAAAGAGAAAGGCATAACTTCTGTATTCTTAGCAACTTTTCTTATTTAAGTCTTTATTATGAAGATGTTTTATTGTAATATTGGAAAGCAATTGTGCTATGGGAATACGTTACAGTTTGTACTTACCTATAAGTACCTGTTTCATACCATTAAGCTTCAAGATCTTTTCTAATGCTCATTATGATGGATGTCTCCTTATATGGCTATAGCTTGGTGCAGTGTATGTGTGTGCAATTTAGAGTTGTGTCTTGAATCCCACTTTATCAGTGCGCTACTCATATTGTCCATTAATTTATTAAAATGTTCTAACATAAGCTATGAACATTAATCAGTTTCTGTTGTGGAGTGGTTTTTCCTGTTCGACGTTAAAGGCAAAGGACAGAATGTTCAGATTACTTAAGTCAGGTACAAGCAGTGTCAGGATATCCGTCAATCACGCAAACAAATAGGGGTCCAAACCCAGGGGTCAGAAATGGGCAGATGAGATAACTGAGAAAATACAAACAGACCTTGGAGACCTTGGCCGTACACACCAGACAGTCTGGCATGGAACAAGTGAGAGTGAGGGGGTGTATACACTGTGGGTCAAATGACGCAATGAATTTCAGGTGAGGGCAACGAGCGGATTGCAAGAACCAGGAGGAAGGCAGGATCTAAAATGACATGGAAGTTATTGAAATGCAATACCAGAAATAACTATGATTGTGTGGAACTTCCATAGTCAATTTATATTTAAAGTTTCATATCCTTGGCACTGCCTATGTGCTTTTGAGCAAGGCATCTGACCCCATACCACTTCCTGGGCATTGTATACAGTATATGCAATAGCTACCTACTGTTCTATATACTAGGAAATGCTGGTTTGCATTACTCCATACCCATTTCTACCATATTGTCCAAAATCAGCATGTTGAAACGAAAATCACAATCAGAAATCGGAAATTCTTAATTAGTCCCAAAACGGGGAAGTTAACATCGTTAGGGAAAAAGTAAAACAATAACAAAGAGTTAGCGAATATATTAAATATAGAGACAAGCACAAATTAGTAAAACAATTAGTTATTACAATTTTTTGTTGTTATTACCCACTCAAAAAACGAATTAAGCCAAAAGTGTTGACTTTAAGTAATTTAATTACATGTACATTTTCCATTCAATTTGATCATGTATGTTTAATGTAAATACTCACATTCAATGCTATGTTTTTCCATTATGTTGACTTAGTGTGAAATAATTAAGTAACTTTTAGATCGGATTAATAGAGTTAATGCCAACTTTTACATAAAGTCTATTGATTCAATTAGGTAATGTTACGTTAAGGGCAGTGGCGTCGCCTGGCCTGGGCATCCGGGGCTTTAGCCCCGAATGTTTTTTCTGTAGCCCCGGACAATTCTCCCTCAATAATATAATACATTAACCGTGCTTTACGTGAACCTCATCATGACACAAGAGAGGACGGCAGCACTGTAATTTCCCGTGTTCATTGAATGTAACAGAGGCATGACACCAGACCAATCAGAGAGTTGCATGGAAATAAACGTGTGCTTGTGTCATTCAAGCTCGGCTCTGTGTGTGTGTGTGGCAATAGCGCACAGTGATAGAGAGAGAGAGAGGGAGAGAGGGGGAGGGAGGGACAGGGTGCCAGCATGGACCGTGTTGTTAGCATCTGGTTAGCTAGCTGCACTAACGGACATATGGAGCTGTTTGTTCCACAAGAAGCTGGAGGAGAGTCCTCTCCTCTCAGACTGAGAGACTCAGGTGAGCTAAAGGACTCTCTGAGTGTTTAGATACATAACTTTAGTCTAAGTTATCTCAGTGGGTCTCAAACGGTTTGGTCACAAATTATTCAAAAGATTATTTCCGCAGCACACCTTCATATGATCATTATAGTTATAAAAAAAATAAGACAATAAAGGAAAAACAGTTATGAAATACTATATGGCAGTAAAACAAGAATAGAGTTTAAAAGGGGAGTGATTAGTAAAATATCCATAAAGAAAAAGTACATCTGTTTACAGTTCTGCTTCATATGGGTGTTGAGAGAGGTATCCATAGATCTCTTCATTTTGCTCTCAAAGTGCACCAGATTGATGCATCTAACTTCAATATTTAAAAAAAAATCTTCCCGGGGGAGCATCCCCCCGGACCCCCCTAGAGGAGGTGAGCCCCCCACTCATAAAAAATACCACTTTACCCCTGCCTATATGCCATGAGCTGATTATCGAGCCTTCATTGTAACAGTCGCGGGTGTACTGTGTGTGTGCGTGTGGGGAGTGTTGCAGTGAAAAATGCCACTGTAGTGCCGCCGCCACTGTGGGCTAAGCTCCGAATGTTTTCAGGTCCAGGCGACGCCCCTGGTTAAGGGAAGTTTTAAATCAACCTAATGTGTTGATTCACTGATTAAGGAACGTTTGTTATGCTTTTCATATGCGTCATTGTGCAACTAAATCATATATGCACATACAAGAATAGTTTTCCAAGGTTTAATTCACAATGAAACTTTTTCATCATCTGCTCACATCCTTTCATCATCAAATCTGTCAATTAGTCAAGTTTCCAGATTGACATCCAAAGACAAAACATTCAACATTACTTTGAGCTCAAACTATGATGGTATTTTCTTCAACCTAGCGCTGTTCACTAAACCTTAAACCACAAAGATTTCACAATATTTTCACAACCACATTGCAAACACTGAACAGTCAGTTTTGATTTGACAGCAAGAGTACTTGTTTCACAGTTAAGAAAATATAATGGTCTGGAATAAACAGGAGGCAACTGCAGTCCCCTGGATCAAGTTTGTAACCTGTTAAGCTACTCCATACCTGACACTTTCATAAAGCATTGGAATCAAATTCAAGTGCAACATTTTTAAATATAGAGCGGTGCAGGGATGACGTATTTTTGTAGTTCGACCCTTAAGGAAGCTGCTGGTTCCCTCGACAAAAAGCATCAGGATTTCTCCATAGGATTTTGGAATATTGTAAAAAATAAGATCGTGGAAAACGAACCTGTTTGATAAATGCACGTTTTATTCAGCCGGATAATATCCACATATCTGCCTTACTTTTTTACAAATTTTAAGTATGAAAATACTTTTATAATTTGAATTATTTATAATTTGAATTATACGTGCATTTATCAAACAGGTTAGTTTTCCACAGATCTTATTTTTTACAATATTCCAAAATCCTATGGAGAAATCCTGTTGCTTTTTTGTCGAGGGAACCCTTGCCGCTTACTTCAGGGTCGGCCTATACGTCATCCCTGCTCCACTCTATTAGGTATTAACACAGACATTTTCAAATTCAACACCTTGCGACTTTTAAGAACATCACATTTGTCCATTGTTAACATTTCCAGACTGACTTTCACAGAGGAATCTCACTTGGCATAGTAGCATTTTAAGAAGTGAGTCCATGAGTTGTTTATGGCGATAAAAAAAAAGATCTCCATCGCTCTCTCATCTATTGCAACAACAAATGACTATGTGAAAAATTGAAAAATGTACATGTCAAAGAACAGATTTCTCCACCAAAATGGTCCATTGAAGTTCAAACAAAATGAATGGAGTACAGAGCTTCGTGACCGCGGAGCGTGTGAACGTTGTGATCAGCTGTTTTAGCGCAGGGCTGCTGTACAGACCGACATTAACAGCAGCCCTGTCTGCACACAGAGACCGACTCTGTCGGCGGTGATCTAACCGCCTTCTGGAAAAGCTACGTCGGTACGCAAATGCGCTTTGTGACACAAGTTACGGTACGCATTTCAGTTGTTGCCGCGCATGCGTACCTGCGTACCAGTTATGTGCACCCCTGTCCATAGGGTTGTTCCTGTCACCAAACAATCTTTTTCTGGAATAACTTTAATCTCCTAGATCAGGGGTGTCCAAACTACGGCCCGGGGGACATTTTGAATCGGCCCTCAGCAAATTCAAAAAGTATAATGGAATACGGCCCACAAATGAAACTTGAGCTTTTCTCGTATTGTACTTATTATTATTGTTACTCCTAATTATTACACAGTAGTGTTCATGTGTTAATAAGCTCAATTTACAATAAATTCAGTCAATTAAGTCGATAACAAAAAAGCCCAATAACTTATAACAAACTTGAAATATACCCTTCCTATTTCCTCTTATGATAATCAATCTGAGGCTCCTGTTGTAAGGGATGAGCTGCTAACAAATTAAATGAAACTCTCTGGAGAGCTGGGATGTAGGCTGTTTATTTTTCTTAAAGCGGATTCAAGTATCAAGCATAATTGACCTACTTTTGATTTATTTTGCTAACCTATAACTTAACTTATGAGGCAGTATAACTCACCTCTA